AGATGACGGGTGGAACACACCGCCGACCGTCCCGCGATGTGAGTGCTCCATGCCGGATGTGCGGTTTACACAGCGCTCGGTTCGCAAAGCACTCTTCTCCCTGGACGTCAGCAAGTCGAGTGGGCCCGATGGAGTCCCTCCCATTGTGCTGAAGACGTGTGCTCCGGAGTTGGCACCGGTTTTAACGCGTCTTTTTCGGTACTCCTACTCCCTAGGCGTAGTCCCGAAATCATGGACAGCTTTGGTCCACCCAATCCCTAAAAAAGGCGACCGCTCAGACCCGTCCAACTATAGGCCTATCGCCATCAACTCCTTGTTCTCCAAAATAATGGAATCCATTATAAACTGCCAGCTCATGAGGTACCTTGAGGATCCCCAGCTGATTAGTGACCGCCAGTACGGTTTTCGTCGAGGTCGATCAGCTGGTGATCTTCTAGTCTATCTGACTCATAGATGGGCGGAAGCAGTAGAGTCCAAGGGGGAGGCATTGGCCGTTAGTTTGGACATAGCGAAGGCCTTCGATCGGGTCTGGCACAAAGCGCTTCTTTCAAAGCTTCCTTCCTATGGGCTTCCCGAGAAATTGCGCAAATGGATCACCAGTTTCCTTGCCGATCGGAGCATCAAGGTCGTAGTAGACGGTGCATGCTCTGATTTCAAGCCTATCAACGCTGGAGTTCCACAAGGCTGCGTGCTATCACCAACGCTGTTTCTCCTGCATATCAATGATATGTTGCTAACTGGTAGCATTCACTGCTATGCAGATGACAGCACTGGTGAAGCCTTATATACCGGCCGTGCCAAATTTTTCTCTGGAAAACGTCGCTGAGTACCGGGACCAACTTGTGTCTGAAGTCGAGTCTTTGCTTAACCAAGTCTCGGATTGGGGCCGACTAAATCTAGTCCATTTCAATCCCCAGAAAACACAAGTTTGCGCGTTTACCGCTAAAAAGAACCCCTTTGTCGTATCTCTTCAGTTTCAAGGCACTCCCCTTACTGCCTCAGCTAATATCGGAATCCTTGGCGTCGACATATCGAATAGTGTGCAGTTTCGTGGTCACTTGGAACGGAAGGCCAAATTGGCCTCTAAAAAGCTTGACGTGCTTAGCAGAGCGAGACAGTATTTCATGCCGGCACATCGCTTGCAACTTTACAAAGCGCAAGTTCGGCCCCACATGGAATACTGTTCTCATCTCTGGGCCGGGGCACCCCAGTGCCAGCTCCTTCCACTTGACCGCATCCAGCGCAGAGCGGTTCGAATCGTCGACGACCGAGTTCTTTCTGATCGGCTCGATACACTGGCACTGCGTAGAGATGTTGCATCTCTTTGTGTATTTTATCGCATCTATCACGGGAAGTGCTCTGAGGAATTGTTCGGACTAATTCCAGCCGCTCAATTTCACCATCGCACATCGCGACAAAACTCGCGTTACCATCCATACCATCTGGATGATTGGCGGTCCACCACTGTGCGATTTAGAAGAAGTTTTCTCCCTCGCACAACTTCCTTGTGGAATCAATTACCACCATCGAATTTTCCGGATCGATACGACTTAGGAACCTTCAAGAAAAGAGCTTACACCTTTCTAAAAGGCCGGCAACGCATCTGCAATTCCCCTGGTGTTGCGGTTGTTCATGGGCGGCGGTAGTCACTTACCATCAGGTGAGCCGCATGCTAGTTTGCCCCCTCTTCTATAAAAAAAAATATTGTAATGATTAGGTATTCAAAGGAAAAGAAAATGATTGAGAATGGCGAATATAAGATACGGTAAATTATTTAATAACGTAGAAGGATGAATGTAGTGGAGTACAAAGAGAAACAATGTAAGAGCGGTTTTCACTGTTCGAAAGGTCTACTAAGTCCACTGACCTCTATATGTATATACAAGTCTTATTTTCTACGACCATTATCATAATTGTCATTACGAAATATGAGAAACGTTCCATATGATAACTTGAGCTCCACATTATGCGATTTCATAATTAGCGTGTGTCATGATGTCAAATAAAATAAAATATTTACTCAAAAGTTTAAAGCTTAAAGCGGATGTACACGGAAGAAGTATCGTCGAGTAACGTACTGAACCCATTCAAAAAAGTAACTAAAATTTTAATAAATAGCCCGAATTAATAATAAAAAATAAAAAACGTATAATGGACTTAAAAACTGCACAAAATATTTCGACATACTTGTGATAGCTTCCGAATTCGGAATTTGAATTGTTCCATACACTATCTTTCAGCACTGACTGCAAAAGCTACTGTGTGGAAATTATTTAACATTCTTTGTTTGCAAATTGGATTTATTTTCTCTCTAAAACAACTAATAGTCCGGTTAAGTTAGCTCAAAAAATGGGGGCTAAAACAACAAATACAAAACTCAATGCGAATCACAATAATTCGAATAGAGCTAAAAATTGGTACCAATGTTAGGAATACCATTAAAAATTAAATGTGAAAAGTCCACATCGATTCCACATCTGACGGCTCCGTGCCGCAGTGACTTAAGTAAATGTTGCAGCTCCTAAGAGCCGCGGGTTCGAATCCCGCACGGAACAAGTATTTGTATGGCCTACAAATGATTGTTCTGGGTCTGGCTGTTTGTCGTTGTGAAATCTATGTATCTAAACTACCCCCGCGATACAGGATAAAATCCTAGTATAGAGGTAACGTTTAAAAAAATCATGGTCAAAGTTCGCTAATATGGTTTATTTGAATTTTTATGGTGAACGGTAACTTTCGCCATCAAAATAGGTTAGACAAAAATTGCACCATTTCTGACATATAGACATTCAAAAAGTTGAAATTGAAAAAGTTTCCACGCCACCGAACAGGTAGTGCACTTAGTGGATTTTTTTTAACGTGGTTTCGCCAGTAGACCTATTCCACAATCTACTGTGGCCCTGATTAATGAAAAAATATTGCATCAAATCAAAAATGGTACTATTGGAAATGATGAAACCGGAGTAAATTATGAGTAATTGGGGAAAATTATTATTATTCTGATTGATAATTATCTAATTGAAACTTCAAGTGTAATGTCTTTTCTTCTTCTGCTTCTTGCTGCTGGATACATGTGAATTGTTCTGCGAGCGATGCATCAGATGTCACCTCGCCGATATCATAAGAATCCCCTTCTAATGGTGATTCAACATTGGAGCACGATTGGCCTTGATAACTGGTCATGCTACAAGCTAATGTACAAAACAATCTAACTTCTTTGCAGCTGAGTTTAGCATTTAATCCCTTTTTGCAATAAAAAAATTGTATTGAGGAGTTTTTCCGATACAGGTAAAGTCAGAATTGATTCCAATGTATTGTCAGTTTACTTCCAACCGCAGTCTTCTAGGTCCAGTTTATTACCAAGCTATACTTGAACTTGATAATATACCCGAAATAGATGTTGATGTGCAGTACCAGGGACTTGGTGAAGAACTAATTACACTCGTTTTTTGTTATGAGTACTTTTTACAAAAAATAAGTATCGAAACTTATCTAAGCAGGTAACTTTTTTGGAGCTTCGTATACAGAAAGAAGGAAGTGAATTCCATTGGTGATTACAGATAGTCGAGTAGAGTTACTCTCTTTATAAATTTCAGCACAATTAACTAAATCTTGTTTCTCAAACAATTTTATAACTGTTGTGTTTTACCCCTCCTGAAAAGTGCTGATATCGCAGCCAGTTATTGTGTGTAAAAATAGTATGTGATTTTAGCATTTTGAAAAAGCAGATAAAAATTTTGCATGAATGAATATATTTCCGATTGCTGTTGAGTCAATATTTATTTTTTCTTAAATTACGACTCAGTGATATAATGTATAATTGCAATTGACGTGCACAATATTATGAATAAAACAACTTTTTCAACTTTTTAAATCGCTATATCTTAGAAATGGTGATTTTTGGGGAAAACTGGTGGAACAATTTTTTGTATCTGATCTATATTTATGATAAAACTTACTGTTTAGCTGAGAAATGAAAAAAACCCTAAATTTTTTTGCTGATGTGAAACCGATAGGGACTTGTCATATTTCATTTGCTATGGTGTTCCCAACATTTGTAAAATTTTCAGCTCTATATGAATTTTTGTAACCTTGAATGTCTATTTTGACCGGACTTCAAATAGTTACATTAAAATCTTCATCTTGTTTTTCAATTTTTTATCCAAATTTATACGGGATCACCCCCGAAATATACTCTATTGAATAAAAAAGTATCATCTAAACCCCTCAAAAATGTGGAGTATGGTTAGGCTTAGACCTGGCCTAGACAAATTTGTTTTATTTAAACACGTGCTAGTAGGTTTTTCCGTCACGGATATCTTAACGCCGTTATCCGAAGGGTTCTTACGTCTATAAATATTTCCTCAGTTTCAGCCCACAGAACACGCACTGCACTGAACAACCGTACTCTTGTTTTCAAGTTATGAGCTATACGTGACGAGAAGATATTTCGTAATCTTCCAAACGCTGCTAAGTTGAGGTGAATCTAATCAATAAAACACCTACCGTTGGGAGACACTATTGAAGTCATTTAACATTGCACTAAGTTCCTCCAGCGATTCTGCCATACAGACTATATCGTCGGCAAATCGAAGGTGAGTAATGTGATGTACTCGCCATTGATGTTGTAACGTATCGGTCTGGAAAAATCGCCGGTGGTAGCCCATTCCACAAAGAAATTGTGCGAGGAAGAAATCATCTAGTTATCGCACAGTGGTGGACTGCCAATCATCCAGATGGTATGGACAGTATAACGAATTATCTCGCGACGATATGCGATGGTAAAATTTGGCGGATGGAAAACCCTCCGCCCCGGGAACCATGAAGCATTTTCAAAAATAAAAGAAAAGAAAGCATAAATGATTTTCATTATATATGTATGTGTTTTTATTCTATCTGGTAGGAAAGTTAGTCTATCAATTATAGAGGATCTTACCGCTTACCCACTGTGTATTGGACGCAGATTTGTGTGATAAGAATGAATGGTTGGTGATTTTTAGGTCAAGCGCGACATGGTAGCAATTAAGCAGGAGTTGGACACGGTGCAGCAAGTGAAAGAAGAGATCGAGGAGTTGCGAGAATATGTCGACAGGCTTGAAGAGCATTCGCAAAGAAGAAAGTTGAGATTGCTCGAGCAGGTTTGTATGGAATATTTCACAATATTTTTTAGTCAATTATAATTGTCGCAGATCAATTTAAAAGATATTCACTCTCATCAATATTATTTCATTCGCTATTCACCCTATGAATAGCGAATAAAATTATATTAATTGACCCATTACAGCATATGAATATGTATAATGAAAGCATATTACGATTCTTGTAACAAAATTATTTGAAATTACTCCTAATAATATTATTCATATTGAAATTATTTGATAGATAAAATTATTAAAAAATATAACTATACAGTACAAAGTTTTGAACAAATAGATAGGTACTCCATGCAACATGTCTATACTCAGAGAACGTAAGTAAATAAGTAAAGTTAAATAGAGCAGCATAAATAGTTAGTAGTCCTCTTGAAGTACAAACTATAATGAAATTTCAACGAGATTTCTATAATGTAAACTGTTTATATAATTGTAATAAAATACATATTATTTATACTTTTATAAATACTCCCAAAAGTATAAAAGTCTGCGATGAACGCTTATTTCGTTGCACAATGCATTGTGAAAAGTAATCACCGATATGCGTTTGCAGTATTCATAAATTCCCCGAAACATGATATTGGTTGGCTCACTCATTTTAATCGAAGAGAATTATCGTTTTTAACTTATACGGCGTGCATTTTAAATAAATTTAAGTGCTTTTTGGCCACCCAAACGCAATTATAAATTGTTTTCCGTTGTTGAAATGTAATATAATAGGACAAAACTGATATACGATTAAATTTACGTAAATATTAAAGAGTTTTAATGTATTATATTAATTTCTTATTTAATATATTATATGTGCTGTTAATTTTAATGTATTATATTTGCCGTGTAGTATCGGTTAAGAATATCCAATACCCCATATCTTCCCGTGGCTGTCGTAAGAGGCGACAGTGGGAAACAGGCAGGAGATGGGCAGCAGCATCTTCCTGATAACAGCAATATTTCAATAAAAAAACTGCGGTTGCCAACCTGCTCGCCAAGCGGGGCAAATATGGCAAACATCCCCCCATGATGAGAGTCAATAAGAGACGGCCCCCAGTCACCGGGGGCCCCGCTATTCCTGGCTATGGTGGAGACCATGGTAACGGCGGGGCAAGGGGTGCTAAGAATCTCTGGTGGAGGTTCCGTTGCCACCTAAGACGACTCAACCTGGCAACATACAACGCACGCACTCTGAGGACTGACGAGAAGATCCTGTAGCTGGAAGAAGAGATAGTCAAGTTACGCTGGCACATTATAGGATTATCCAAGTTCCGAAGAGAGGAGAACGACGCGGTAATTCTCGAATCTGGTAACTTGTGCCATCGCTGGGAGGACGACTATCTGTCACAAGGAGGTGTTGGATTCATCGTCCACAAGTCTGTCTTTAACAACGTTGTAAAGATTGTGAGTGTGTCGACGAAGGTTGCGTACTTTAAATTAAGAATCACCAAACAGTATTCGTTAAAGGTCATACAGGTTTATACACCAACCTCGGCACATCCCGATGAAGAGATGGAGGAAATGTATGAGGATATATCTAAAGCCATGCATTCCTCTAAAACCCACTATACGATGTTAATGGGAGACTCCAATGCAAAATTAGGCACAAGAGAGAACAGTAAGCTGAAGATAGGAAAATTCGGAATAGGGCAATGGAACCCAAGGGCTCAGCAGCTGCCAACTTCATGGAGAAAGAAGGACTCTTTATGATGAACTCTTTCTTTCAGAAGCGGCCCCACAGGAAGTGGACCTGGTCGAGTCCCGACGGTTTGACAAAAATTGAGATTGAATTCATTATGGCGACCAGACGACCACTGTTCAGTGATGTCTCAGTGATCGCGAGAGTGAAAACTGGTAGCGATTACCGAATAGTTAGACGCACACTGAACCTAAACGTTAAATTAGGGAGGTCTCGTCTAATGGAGTCAACGCTCTGTCCCTCTCGTGCTCTAATCCAAGTTTCGAAACCTTACAGCTCGAGTTACAAATCCATTTTCAGTGCCTAGAAGACTGCAATGCAGTGAACGATATGAATGACAAGCTTGTGGAAACTGTCCATGCGGTCGGAGCTAAGTTCTGCAATACCCACCGCAGAAGAACGCATAAACTTTCTGATCCCACTCTTAATCTCATGGTTCAAATCTGTTAGACGAGGCGTGAAGCTGCAGTCTTGAACAGATTTGACAGCATACAGGCAACTAAACAGACAGATATCTAAATACATGCGGTGGGACTTACGCAACTTCAATACAGCATGTATTGAAGAAGCGATCTCCAACCTCCAACAAAAAAGCGATAGCGAACCAAGGATCCAAAGTATCTGGCAGAGATCTGTCTGCCAGAAAGAGCCAACTGTCATAGTTTAAGACCGAGTGTGGCAACATCGTTTCCGGGACACCTGAGATTTTGGGTGATATTTAGAGGTTCTATGGGCAGCTCTTCACATCGTTGGAGCCACACGCAAGTGTGAGTAACGATTCAAGAGTAAGTCTTATTCGACACTACTCCGATGTTATCCGGAACATCAGTCTGAGCGAGATTAGAATGGCTTTCCAGTATCTTAAAAACGGCAAGTCCCCGGGCGAGGATGCAACTACAGCGGAGCTTATGAAAGCCGATGGAAAACCGATACATGAAGTGCTTCAGAAGCTCATTAATTCCGTCCTCCATGGTGGGACTACTCCAGAGGGGTGGAGCAGAAGAGCGTTGTCGCCTTTCTTGAAAAACAAGACCAACTCTTGTTCTTCAAGAAAGGCGACAACGCTCATTTGAAGAACTACTGACCGACTTCCCTTCTAAGCCGCGTCTACGTGCTGTTTTTGAGAGTCATTATGAATCGTCTCGCACGCAGACTCGACGACTTCCAGCCTCCCGAACAAGCCTGTTTTCGAAAAGGCTTTAGCACCATAGATATGTGGTCTACCCTTCGGCAAATTGTACAAAAGACCGAAGAGTACAATCTGCCACTTTGCCTTACGTATGTGGACTATGAGAAAAGCCTTTGATTCCGTCAAAATTTGGGCGGTGCTACAGCGTACAGTCCCTTTAGCGGTGCCAAGTTGACTGTCAGTATATCGAAGGGTTGAAGTGTTTGTACAGTAGAGCTGCGATGGCTATCCGAGTACAGAATCAAAGTACGAAACCTATCCAACTGCAGAGAGGTGTAAGACAGAGTGACATAATATCCCCGAAACTCTTCACCGCTGCATCGGAAGACGTTTCTATGCTACTGGACTGGAAATGTTACGGTATTTACATCAATGGCGATTTTTCGATGATATAATCCTTATGGCAGAATCGCTGGAGGACCTAAGCAATATGCTCAACGACCTCAATGGATATCTCCCAGCGGGTAGGCCTTAAGATGAACATGGACAAAACAAAAATCATGTTTAATGTCCATATCACACCTATGCCGGTAATTGTTGGGAGCACTAAGCTCGAAGTTGTTGACGAGTATGTTTACCTAGGACAAATAGTCCGACTAGGTAAGTTCAAGTTCGGCGGGGCAGCGTTCGGGGAATTAGGACACATTTTCTCGTCAGGTATACCTTAAAACCTGAAAACGAGATTGTACAACCAGTGCGTGTTGCCAGTGATAACTTATGAATCTGATACGTGGTCCTTGACTGCTGGCCTTATGAAGACGCTCAAGGTCGCTCAGCGAACTATGGAGAGGGCTATGCTCAGGGTTTCTCTGCGTGATAAACTTAGAAACGAGGATATCTGCAGTAGAACCAGAGTGACCGACATAGCCCAACGGATTGGTAAGCTGAGGTAGCAATGGGTCGGCCGGCCATATAGCTCGAAGAACCGACGACCGATGGCGAAAAAGGGTCTAGAGTAGCAGCCTCGTACTGGTAGGCGAAGTGCAGGGTGACCCCCCACTAGATGGAGTGACGCCCTGGTAAGACATGCAGGAAGTCGATGGCTGCAGGTAGCTCAAGACCGTGCTTTGTGGCATTCCTTGGGGGAGGCCTATATTCAGCAGTGAACTTGTGGAGGACTGTATTGATGATGATGATGATGATATTGATTTCAGTATCAGATTAAAATGAAATAAAATATAAAAGCAAATAAAAAAAATAATAACAAGTAAAATGTTTTACATTGCTGTCATTCTCAATTGTTTCAGGGACTTACTTTCTTCTTATCGTATGCTATCTTAGCAGCAGTTCTTGGGATGCTGCAATTTGGTTACAACACTGGTGTTATTAACGCTCCCGGCAGAGTGAGACTCTTTCATTTAATAAATTAACTAAATTTTTATCTTTTTCCATCAAGATAAACTACGATTCATTGCTGTATATTATATAAAATTAATTTAAAACTTTTAAAATCAATTTTAAAAATTTTAACTTTGTTTAAAGTTGTTGTAAAGGTTAAAAGAATATGTGAAATTACGAATTCCAAAATACCTTCTCGATTTGAGGTCTGCCAGGTCGAATTTCACTGTTTGTAAAAGTACATTTGTACGATATCTTAAGATGTGCGAGCGTGTAAAGTAATTTCCTCCTGACCTATTATTGGCCGTCAGTATAAACAGGGACTAGACAACTGAGCACTATAGGATTATAGATCACGAGTGTGTGCGCAAGTACAGGAGTACCCTGTATTCCCTACTTACTCTGATAGTCTGATGGGACAGCAATCCGATAAGACCACAAAGATATCAGGCGCAAGGCCAACGGCTTCACGTGTTTTCCGAAGCACAGGGGTGGAACACCGCCAATTTTACGTATTACTAACAGTTTAACAACTTATTTTTAAAATTAATACTTATTTCACACATAATTTAACACTGATCGTAATTCGTTTGTCGTCAGAACATCGAAAACTTTATGAAAGACGTTTACAAAGATCGCTATGGCAAGGATATACACGAAGACACGGTGAATAGGTTATATTCGATAGCAGTTAGCATCTTCGCTATCGGTGGCATGCTCGGCGGCTTCTCGGGTGGAATGATAGCTAATCGATTTGGAAGGTAATTGCATATCTTATATTGACATTACCTGCTGTTTTATTTATATCTCACGTGCTTCTGTTTATTAAGTTCCTTATGTATTTTTGTCGCAGGAAAGGGGGTCTATTGCTCAATAATATCCTTGGCATCAGCGGCGCTAGTCTTATGGGTTTCACCAAAATTTCTCACTGTTATGAAATGTTATTCTTCGGCAGATTCATTATAGGCGTCAATTGTGGTAACTACCTCTTATTTCATGCTAATACAGTACTCATTACTTGTATACTCGTATCTTGATGGTGCCGTAAGGCAAAATCGGTCGGTGTATATAAATAAAATAATAAATGAAACAAAAGAGTGAGTGACACATAGTCACTCCTATATGAAGACGAAGTTCCATCAAGCGACAAAATCGCAAGTATAAATTATATAATACTTAATTATTATTGAAAAAGATGCTGAAATCAATAATGTGACACCAATGGAGATAAATAAAAAATGCTGTTGAGGTTACTATTATAGATTAGCCGTAGGTACTTATTTCAATAACCGTATATATTAGTTATTAACAATAAAATTTCACGATTATTGAAAGTTATATGAAAAAATATATATTATCTTGAATTGTCAGAATATTGTCTATAAATACTGCGAAATTTTTACAATGTCATGTTATAATATTATATCGGATACCATACAGTGATGCCCGATATTTTTTTTGAATCGATCTTCTGGATCGTAATGGATCGTAACCTCGTGAATCGATTCATGATTTAATCATATTGCATTGAATCGATCTTATTCGATCTCGGAAAATCGTATCGTAATTTTATAAAAATAAAGAAAAGCACAGTATGCATGAAAAATTATTTATTTTAACAATGCCTCAATTTTGCTTCAATAATATACTGAAAACCTAGGCAACAAAATATTATTGTTTGTGTTCAGTGTGTGAGGCCTTCAGTTTTAAAGTATTTTATATGTAATCTTGATAAAATGAAATGATAAAATCTTCTTTATGAAAGATCTGTAAATACAATCTTTTTTAGCTTGTCTTTTTTTAAATGTAGAGATTATATAATAATAACATCAAAGGGATTGCCTAATATTGAAGAGAATTTTTTATTGTATAGTTGTAGCACGAATGGGTCGGCTCGACCGGGGAACGACCACGCTCACACAGATTACCAGCGTAAGATAGCAGTTACTCTGTTTCGTATGGTGAGTGTAGAGAACCGGAGAACCCTTTTACTGCGAAAGAGGCATTCCATCTTAGTCCTCACGACTGACAAACGAGTGACAATAGATTCGTAAAAGAAGATAGATGTAGATGTGTATGGGCCACAGCAACCACTTACCATCAGGTGGACTGTGTGCTCGCTTGTCACCTTATCCTATAAAAGAAAAAGACACAATATGAAAATCTATCACTCCGTCTCATCCCGTAGATATATCGATCGTCCGTTCCATACAATGGCAGGCTCATTAGTACGTACGTACAACTATAGATAAATCTAAAATACAATGTTAATATCGCGTATTTATTGATGACTCATATCTCGATACTTAGTATGGATATTAGTATAATGTTTAAGTAATTAAAACAAAGTCTCAAAAACTTATTTGTCGCACAAGGCGTATTAATCTTAATTTTTTTAATCAAAAATACTAGCAATGCTATTAACATTACTAACATTCCCTTTAACCACTCGTGGTAAGCTTAAAATGCTTGTGTTAGGAGTGGTCTACGACGGTAGTCCAATGGCGGATTCGAACCCTCGAACCTTTTGAGTTCGCGGGCCGCAAGCTGCCTGTCGCTTGCAAAATTTTCAAAAATTTGATTACATTACAGGCCTGAACACATCATTAGTGCCAATGTACATATCGGAAATAGCCCCGCTAAACCTGCGCGGTGGATTGGGCACCGTCAATCAGCTGGCGGTAACTGTGGGGCTGCTGCTTTCACAGGTGCTAGGTATTGAACAAATACTTGGTACAGATGAAGGATGGCCTATTTTACTTGGTAAGAATTTTTACTAGTATAACACGAAATATTTTCATGTTACAGCTTTTTACTAAATGCATATGAAAGTATTTACGGTACTTATAACAAAAATGCATTTTTTTTAATTTTTGTCTATCTGTCCGTCTGTTTGTTCCGGCTAATCTCCGAAACGGCTGGACCGATTTTGACAAATTTTCACAAGACTTTCACTGGCATATAGCTGATATCATAAGAAGGAACGTAGTTACTTTTATTTAAAAAAAAGAATTAGGGTTCCACGCAAAAATTTAAAACCCTAAATATGCACGCGAGCGAAGTCGCGGGGAATAGCTAGTTGTGTAATAATAATTATATTAAATATTTACAAGGGTAACCTTTTATTCATGCAAGGATGGCATTAATTGGTCATTATAAAAGAGTTAAAATCTTTTACCTTATTTACTATCTTCGGCTGAATCAAGCACTACCTTTTAATATTAAAAAAATCATATATATCGGGCGGGGTATTACCCATATAAACGTGTTTCTCCGTTTTCTCACCGGATATATTATATTGAAGAATCAAAGCAACGACTTTAGAAGCTATTAGTGGAATTTATTTTTAATATTTTTGAAGTCAGTTTTTCACTGTATTAAAGTTGATTTTATCCTTTTGAATGCAATAAGCATTGAATGCTTGCATGCAATTTAAGCTTGAATGCAATAACACTACTAAATAATTACATTAAAAACATAATCCCCCTAATTTTCTTTAGGGTTTTAATGTTTTTTTTTTAATATCTATGTGGGACCACCCCGAAAGAATTAATATATTTGATTAAAGAAGAATCATTAAAATTGGTAAAGTCGTTTCCTAAAAATCGGTAAACTAAAAAAAAAAACAATATGGAACCTACTCGTTTTTGGAACTCAATAAAATTAATAGGTATGTTATAGGAAATAACATTAAAAAATTTCCATTTTGGAGGGGTAGGAAAATAAAAAGAAATTATAAAGCTACTCCAGTCCCTAAATGTTTTTATTTATCAGGTTTATAGTTTTTAAATAAAATTTTCTTACGCTACTTACGTAGAATGTGGCATTTTTACAACCAATAGCAATGTTAAAGTCTTCTGAACATTTTCAATGCCTATCCTGTCCATCAACTCGATTCCCTGTCAAATCGTCAATTTAGCCACAAATTCACGGCCGCGGCTCGTTGAAAATTTCGTGCCTGCAATTGACAGCGCTTCACTACTAAAACACCTGATACTCTAACTGACTCGGAAACGTTTTAAATCGTAATGAAGTACCTGAATGAGTGAGGTACACCGAAATACTCTACTTATAGATTATATATATATATATATATATATATATATATATATATATATATATATTTGGAAATACAGTATTATTGTATCTTTGATAAATACCTAAAAAGGACCTTACAGATAAATACGTTAATAGTGTTACACCAAAGAGTATTTAGATCACTTTAAAGATATTGTTAAAAGTCTCCATATAAATGAATTTGTATTGTACTAGTAAAATACATTACTATGGATATATATGATATACAAAAATTGTATACCTATATATATTGTCTTAAGTTTTGACTTATTCCTTTGAGCATTAAGAAATACTTAGAGAATTAAATGAAGGGTGATTATAAGTATGAACACAATAGTGTTTAACTTAGAATATTATATTCAAATACTTGAGGTAGACTATGGACTGAGCGCTTGGCTTATACACACCAAAATTTGCGGAGGATAATAAGTAATATAGGTAAACGGTGAAGAAAAAATAATTAATAAAAAATCTCAAATATTTTAAATTCAAAATGCGCGGTAATGCATTACACACACACACATTCGTAAGGGTCGATCCGGAGACAAAAACGTTGTTGCCCATAAATCACATTCAATTTGAGATAATTTTTTCAAATAAAAGTATAAGCCTTATTTACTCGTATTTTCGGTATATCATTTATATCATTTTTCAAGGAGTAGCCAAATTTTGAACTTAAGTTCCAAAGCTCCAAATTCATAAATCCATAAATTGACTTGGCAATCGCACTAAACAATCTAATTTAATATAATATGTATTACTTGAGAGACACATTGTGTTTTTATGCGATGGCCAAGTCGATCTATTTTTTTTAAATATAAAAGATTCTTAATATTGATATGGTCACTATAAGATGTTGTCAGGTTAGCTAATTACGTAATAACTTAAGACAGAAAGACCCTTAAGTAGGCACTGAATAAATTAACCGACTTGGTATTGCATGGATCTCACAACTTTTTACGGTAGAAGAACTGAGTTGCGAGACTTGGTTTTTTTTTACAAGTTATGTTTTTGATGGTATCTATACTATACTAATACTCTAATACGACGTCTGTCTGAACAAGCACCACGCAAAAACCTCTGAACCGATTTGTATGGTACTTCCTCTAGCAAATAGCTGATATTATAAGAAGTGACTTTGGCTACTTTTAATTTAGGATAAAAATTAGAGCTCCGCGCAAAGAAAATTAAAATCCATGAAATCCAAACGCAATAATTTCCACGCGGTCGAAGTCGCGGGGTACAGCTAGTATTTATTAAGAATACCAAACTGCAACTGTTGCATAATGTTTTGCCTTATCTGTATCCCAAAATAGGTGATCAAAAATTTTAAATATTAAATAGTCATAAATAAGTTCCAACGCCTAAATCTACTATAAAATTCAACATGCTTTGGCTATTTCGCTTTGTTCGTTCACTAGTAATTTTCTATTTACGAGTATGCTTTATTTACGTCGCGTAGACATGGTCATCGTTTCAAAAATGTGGTAATTCATAATTAGGAAAAAGCTCGATTGCTGGTTCCTTTCTAAGATAATTATTTTTTTTTTGTTACTATTTGTATTATTTATTATAAATAATATTTTTATAATATAATATAAATAATATGCAAGGTTATTTTGCAAAAATCGGCCAAATTTACAGAGCAGGTTCAGAATAGATAACATAAGCGAATGGTGAAAAAAATACAAGAAAAAACTGAAACATTTTATCCTTTATATTCAAAATGTGTGGGAATGCGTTAATTTAATTGTTTTTCATTCTAAATATGAAGCGACTACTATTTTATACGCACGCACACATTGGTAAGGGAGTGTTGAGTTCCGAAAAAGCTGTCGCTGTCGGTGGTGTTCGGTGCTCGCGCTCGGTTACAGATTTAGGTATCTAATGGATGTTTTAGCTCGGTAAAAACAAACGCGTCTCCCCGGCTCCGCGCCCTTACCCTTCCAATACACCGCTGAGTACTTGACCATGACCTCATTAAGTACCGAGTGTCCTATTTTTAAATTTTCGTAGGTAGTATTACTTGTCACAGCTAGTACTACGTCTAGAAACTATTGAATTCTTCTGGATATCACCCATTTCATTACCTATGTGTGCAAGCACTGAATAATAACGATGGTTTACCTCGTAAACATTTTTGTGAATAGTTGTTGTCAAAAATTTATAATACTAACATTATGTGGACTGACGAAGCCCTATTTACGCGTTAGGGCTTTATAATAGTCGCAACGAACATTAGTGGGCAGTATTTGCATACTCTGTAAAAGATGTTGCATGCTCTATATAAGTGCGATTTAGTGTAAATGTTTGGGCCGGAATTATAGCTGTTAACATAATTGTGGGCCCGTACTTCATTGAAAGACGATTAATGGGTGATAATTATTTGGACATGTTACAAGGTGTTATTCAAGATTTCCTGGACGATATACCCCTAGTGTTGCTGAATAATGTCGGTGCTTCGCCTCACTATTCTCGTGCAGTGCGTGATTATTTGAACAGCGAATACGAAGATAGGTGGATTGGGCGTAGCGGCCCTATACCATGGCCTGCAAGGTCATCGGACCTTACACCACTAGACTTTTATTTATGGGGTGAAATAGAGACAACTTCACCTTGAAGAGGCCCAAAGCTACGACGACCTCCGCATCAAAATGAAGCCCGCTTTTCATCGGTTACGTCTGTAATACAACAACATACAATTTATGTCAGTTTTGAATTATTGAATATGCATATTGAACAGCGTACGCGCCGACGCAATGTTCGTGTCGGTTGCAGTCGGCAACGCTCGGTACACAGCCTTCGTAGCCGTCCGGGCGACTTCGTTTTTACCAGCCAGCACCAGCTAGTCCGCTTCAGCGCTAGACGCTACGCTAGCGCCGCCTGTGTAACCATTATTTAAATCGCATAACCTATCATTGGCCTTCCAGCTCAACTATTTTTGCTACAACTAATTGTTTACATTTATTCTCCACATCTTTCCCTCGCTCTGTAGTCTAACTCGAGGTGTGCAGAACTTTTTATTGGCATAGCATCTATTCCAGTCGTCGATGAAATGTATTTTTATTTTATTTTATTTATTATGACACTTATCAGTAGCGAGCGTGTCATTAAGAAAGTAAATAGTAGGCAAAAGCTCCGTTCATTGACTCGTACACACGAGTGCGCATTGCTGTTGCCCATAAATTACATTCAATTTCGGATATTTTGAAATAAATGTAGAAACCTTATTTACGCGTACTTTTCAAAACTGCAAAAAGTGCATATCAGTATTTATATTTTGAACTCAATTATAAAATTTGGCTGGACTTTGAAAAATAACCCTGTATAATTAATAAATAAATCATGTATTTAGTTGGTTCCTAAATGAAATGAATAAATATATCTCTAGTGCCGTTAAAAACTTATGAGCAACCCGAAATATGAGTTCATTATCATCAGAGCATATCAAAAGTACACTGCTGAACAAAGACTTCTCCCGTAGACTGCCTCAGGAGGGATATTTGCTAAGGTTGCCACTCTTGACAGATGGGCGGGTAGAGAACCACAGTAATTTTAGTTTATATAAGGAAGACGCTGCTACCCAACACCTAACTTGTTTCCCTATGTAGCCTCTTACGACACCCACGGGGCGATATGAAGTAGCGGACGTTCTTACAACACAATTAACGGTGTGATATTGGAGTACACGCAGCTTTAGTTCTATATTACTAAAGCCTTAACAATTAATATCATGTGTCCAAACCGGCTTTTGACGGCTCCGTGGCGCACTGGCTTAGCAACGAGTTGCAGCGCTAAGGGCTTCGGTTTCGTATCCCGCACGGAACAAGTATTTGTATAGCCAACAAATAATTGTTCCGAGTCTGAATGTCTGTCCTTGTGAAATTTATGTATGTAAACTGCCCCGGATTAGCAGGCTGAAGTGGCAGTGGGCCGGCCATATAGCTCAAAGAACCGACAACCGATGGGGAAGAAAGGTTCTTGAGTGGCAGCCTCTTACCGGTAGGCGAAGTGTAGGGCGACCCCCCACGAGATGGAGTGACGACCTGGTAAGACATGCAGGAAGTCGATGGATGCAGGTGGCTCAGGACCGTGCTTTGTGGCATTCCTTGGGGAAGGCCTGTGTTCAGCAGTGGACTTATGAAAGGCTGTAATGATGATGATGATGAAACTGCCCCCACGATACAGAAGAAAAACTAAGTGTGGAGGTAACGTTTCTAAAAAAAAAATCCCATCGGAAATCTTCAAGTCGGCATACGATATGATAATTCAGTTATTAACACTTCTCAATGGGTCGCTTAAAAATGTTTTAGAAGAATTACCAATATTGAATTCTTGTAATAACATCTTTTAACAAAGATGAAAAGAAGAATGCGCATGAATTGAAGTTATTGACGGCGATTGAAAGAGATCGGTTAGATTTCTGCCTGTATAGTTTTGAAAGGACTTATTAAAATACTGATTTTAATACCTCGCTTATATGACTAATCTGAAAAAAAGCATCGGTTGAATAATTGAATTGCACTTCAAAGCCTTCATCTGTTTGGAAAACAATACCTTCTTAGAGAAGAACCGGCGAAGAAAATTGGGATCTATTATTTCTTACAAAAGCTATTTCTTACAGAAGCTATATTACTAGTATAAATGTAGCACGAATGGATTGGCTCGACCGGGGAGGACCACGCTCTCACAGAATACCAGCGTAAAATAGCAGCTTAATGCTGCTGTGTTTCCTATAGTAAGTGTAGAGAACCGGAGACTCTTGATTCGATACGATGTGATTTTGATTCGTAATCGAGGATAGATGTAGATGTTATGTGCCACAGCAACCGCTTACCATCTGGTGGACTGTGTGCACGTTTGTCACCCTCATCCTATAAAAAAAGATGACAGGGCCATGCCACGCGGATAGGAACGTTTGAAAACTACGCACATTATCTCGCTTTGCTCATGCCCGTCGCGCTAAGCGCCCACCGGTTTCCACCGCGGAAGGGTGATGAATGGGAAATGGTGAGCGGATCGGACTCCTTTTAAACAAAATAGGTTTGCATTCTCACCAACAAAGAGATTTGCCTGTTGATTTCCACTGCAAACGGATAAAGACAGAGAGGAATCAGCGGAGCGAGCTGAACGGAATATGAGAAATGGGAAATGAATAGTCAATTTCCACCGAGAGCGAGTTCAGTTGGAGTTTTGAAATGGTTACGTGTGGTATTGTTTTGTTGTGTGAATTCACGATGTTATCGAGTAACACGGAATCAAGTGAGGACAGTGATTATGTATACCGAAAGAAAAAGCATATATTATTATATCTTAAGCACAGCACAAAAAACGCGTAAAACGGAGATTTTGGTTATGTCGGCACATTCGAGAAAGAATGTTGAAAGGGGAATATAGGCTATTCAATGATTTGGACGACGAAAAATTTAAAAACTATTACAGGGTTAGCAGAGAACAATTTCAAAAACTTTTGTCATTTGTAAAGGCCGACATTTTAAAACAAAATACTAACTACAGGAAACAGCAGCGTCGAGCGAGTCCGTTTGAAACTAGTCGGCGAGACCGCGACGCTGCGAACACATGTTACTCGTTTGGTCCGTTCAGAGATCGGTGGAAACACTACTTTGTAAAATTCAATTGCGAGTTGAAAGGACTCATTAATGACTCCGGTCCGAGTCCGCAGCTCGTTTTTACTCTTTTCGCCCTCGTTGTCATTTACACTCGACTCTTTGTTGGTGGAAACACATGTATGCAGTCTTGTATTGCGAGGTAAAAGGAGTAATTAATGGGTCCGTTCCGCTCGCAGTGGAAATCGGGCTTTAGTCACTACACTATAGACGCAAACGGCGGTTTCATATGTTTGATATTTCGCGCTCATCGTCGCAACCGCACTATATTCGCACTGTGGGGCAGGGCATAGAGCAATACACCGGTGAACTGGAGAAGACTAGTAGCAAAATATGCATTGTAAGATTAGCAAGCATAGTGTAGTGTTTCTGCAATGCTTAGCAGGTTGATACCCTGTTATTCCCTTTAAACGTAAAATTTAAATAAATAAATAACCTTTTGGTAAGGCCAAAGGGTTATTTAGAGTGGGACGAGAACGGCTTCGCAACAGTCTCCCAGTACTCACTTAAGTTCCCAGCATATTACATGCATTCATGCTTTTCATTGATTTCATTATTTAATCCACACGTATCTCATCACTTCCTTTCTTTTCTTTTCAAGTTCCTGATTCATGTACTTCAGATTCCTCCTCATATTCAAAATCATAGTTTTGCTTCCATCTCTTTAAAATTCTTAATTTTATAATTAAAAGTCCCGCCTTACTCGTCACGCACTACATTCATTCTAGGCTATCCTGACTTTTCCCTGACAGTTTTGAAAAATTTCCAGAATATTTTAATGTTTGCTAGGAAATTATCTGTGTGCGGTAGGTGATTGACATTATATGGTTTAATGGTCACGTCAACCATGTTTAATCTACTGTCGCTGCTATTATTACTATAGTCTTTAGTATTTTTGACAAACTAAACAGTATGCCTAAGTTTAATCGGCAGCACCTTGTTGTAGCCGACTAAACCTGTAGTTTTACGTCGAATATAAAAACCAATGACTTTTGTGCAGGTTTGGCGATCTGTCCTGCAATTTTACAACTTCTTCTCTTGCCGGCCTGTCCAGAGTCTCCACGATATTTACTAATCACGCGTCAATGGGAAGAAGAAGCACGACGGGCTCTTCGGAGGTTGCGAGCTAGTAATCAGGTAGGTGTTACGAAAATTAAGTGTTATTAAATTAATAAGAACGTTAAGAAAACATTATAATTATCAGAGTTATGATAAATTACTTTAGCTAAAACTAATAATTTAAAAATAGGTTGAAGAAGATATTGAAGAGATGCGCGCTGAAGAACGAGCCCAGCAAGCAGAAGCGTCCATATCTATGCGAGAATTGCTCTGTTCACCTACTCTACGGGCACCTCTGCTGATCGGCGTCGTGATGCAACTGTCACAACAACTGAGCGGAATCAATGCGGTTTATTTTTATTACCTTTACATTAACTGTATAAAATACATTCCAAAAGCAAAATAAGTTTCACAAATTGTATTATTTTTTGGTAAATTGCTGTAAATATAACAACTGTACCTATTTATTTCACAGGTGTTCTATTACTCAACTTCACTGTTCACGTCATCGGGATTAACTGAGGAGTCAGCTAAGTTTGCCACAATGGGTATTGGTGCAATCATGGTCGGCATGACGCTCGTCTCCTTACCCCTAATGGACCGCACTGGACGCCGTACGCTTCACCTCTACGGTCTTGGTGGAATGTTCATCTTCTCAATTTTCATCACAATCTCTTTCCTTATAAAGGTGTGTCTTATGTAAGAATATCATAAACAATTCTATTTAAATCCACAAATATTCAATAGTAAATATTGTAACAAGTTAATCAAACTTTGAAACATATTATCTTTGTTATTGTCATTGTATATAACAGCAGACTTCTTCAAATTCATCAGCTCGCAAAAGTCCACCGCTGAACATGGGTTACTCCCCTTCGGCTGGTGGATTGACGATTACAGTACCAGACATTTGGTACTGCTTCCAGTCGCCCGTCTGGGAATTTAATGTCTGGCTTAAACAAGATGTTCATACCGCCGCAAATGTTTTAAAAACAATCAGTATATTTGTTTCCTTAAGAGTTTCATCTGCTTAGTACGAGATATTATTTCTATTGCAAACAACGCCATGTGACAACGTGACACCATAACATTATTTTATTTAACTTCGAGATTGATTTAGATTATGATAAGCTAAAATTACGATAATTTTGTTAAGTGGTCCATTTCTTCCAAACCGATTTAACATTAAAATTATCATTATTGTTACGATAAAATTGGCCATGATATGTTTGGTTCCGTGAATAGTTTAGTTTATTAACAGCTGATTGTTGTTTTTTTTTTATATTTTACTCATACTATATGAGTAAAATATAAATTTATTTCTCAGTTTATCCTTAAGATCATTTCATTCCTTAACTTAACTGCTTATGCACGCTTTTTATGGCTTTTTATGGAGTAAGAATCTAATTATTGTGTTTTACAACTAATACGCTTTTACAACTAATACAATTTATTCCTGTCACCTAACTTTTTATCGATAACGGAACAGACCATAGATATAATATAATATTTCTATGGAACAGACAATCCATATTAAATAATCTTTTATCAACCATTAAGTTTCCCTTGTGCGTATTAGTTGAGGGTTTTATAATGATTTAGATAGGAGTGCTTTTACGTTTATTGTTTTATATCCTCTCACACTTCACGTTTAATTTGCTTCGCTTAGCGCTAGTTGCCCTCCCCCCTTTTACGACTTTCCTGTTTCCGATACCGGACTCCCGGTAGGAAAGCGTTGTAAAGAACAAAGAAATGAATTACCAAATATAAATGTTATGAACATCACTCACAAAGCACCCGACACATTTTTGTTAATCACGCGACGTAAAATCGAAACCAACTTGATAGTCCCATGAGGAGCTCTGGCGCACGCGTTTGAAATAAAAGCGAATTTTCACAAAAAAAAAAACACTGCTCAAAAGCAGAAAAAGCACCTTTCACATTAGCTGCAGTTAAATGTGAAACAAAGTTTTGCTAACACAGCACTATATGAATATTCACTATATAAAACATACACAGCGCATTTATAGATACTTTACACCCGCTCTACTAGCATAGAATAGAATTTAAAATATCAAACAATTAAATGAAATCACTCCTGACGGACATTCAACACATGTACCAACGTGTCAAGTCGTGATGTACATTTATGTTTGTGATTTATTTCTTTTCCGGACGGTGACGGGAAAGAACACCGTTACTACTCCCTGATAGGAGTTTTTCGGCTATGTACAGGAAATGATAGACTGGATGAGCTATCTATCCGTGGTGTCCACTCTCAGCTTCGTGGTTTTCTTCGCTGTCGGGCCCGGCTCCATACCCTGGTTGATTACTGCCGAGCTCTTCTCACAGGGCCCAAGACCGAGCGCAATGGCCATTGCTGTATTAGTAAACTGGATGGCCAACTTCGTCGTCGGAATCGGCTTTCCAAGCATGAAGGTGTTTTTCAATTTTGATACTATAAAAATAATGAGTCGTGTTATTTTTTTTTATTTATACATATTTTTATTTTCAGGCTCTACTGGAAAATTATACATTTCTGCCTTTTAGTGTATTCCTTGCAATTTTTTGGATATTTACGTATAAAAAAGTTCCTGAAACAAAAAATAAGACATTCGAGGAGATTTTGGCACTGTTCCGAAACTCAAACGGCAGGTGAGAATTATTATAACTATTATATATATATATTATGTTTTTTTCTATTTTTAATTTACGTTTCCATTTGTGATTACCACATTTTTCGAACACCAACATATACATTACCCACCTCACTTATCTTTGGCACTTCACCGTCAAAATGTCATTGCCATTGGCACGCGAAGCACCAAGATTTTGATAAACAGTTTTTATATTTCTGGGGTTAACATTAAATAAAATTACAGAATAACAAATCGAAATAAAAATTTCACACATACATAGTGAACTGTAGTACTATTCGACATTTAAAATTTAATTATGTGTCATTTCGCAGCACTAAAAATTAACCGGTCCCGAATAATTGACTGTATGTTCGTACAATTTTTATTAATATAATATTAGGTAGAGGAATTCATGTAAATGTATAAAGTATTCTATCTTTTATTATAAAGTCATATTATATTATTTTTATACATACTATATATAGATTTTGAGGATAGAAGGGAGTCGAGATGGGAGGAAAATTGATGTATGCGTTTCGGAAGTCCATAGCTTTGAGAAAAAATAAAATATTTTATTTATTTATTACACACTAGTGAGCATTAATCTCCTGTGCAGTATGAAAAGGCGAGAATAAAAAGGGTTAGAGTGCGAAAGCAACCACTCTGTGAATCTGTGATCGGGTTAAATGTCGCCTCATCTCATCCTAATCTCGCTGATATACGTAATAGGCGAAGTAAACAGAATTCATAGTAATTTTAATTTTTTTAAAATTATTTTCTTCTATATCTAAATGTTGTAAGGTCCACCTTACAACATTTAGACGTGTTTTTAAGTACGAATAAATCAATAAACATCAAGTTAAACTAACCGCAATCGGCTGCCGGAATAATAGCTGGATAGATAAAACATAATTATTCGTCATTCTTTCTTAAATTACAACCATATACAGAAAATAGATAAATCTATTTTATATGATATTACAATATTTTCAAAATTTAGGCATGCACTATATCAATAAAGGCATAGTAATAATTATAGTGGACTGAAAAACTACTTCTAAAACTTAATTTAATTTACTTATATACCCCTTATGACATATTTTATAATATTTTTGTCATTGATCTTCATTTGATGAACACAGTTTAAAGTTTAAATATATGGAATAATAATATTTGGCTACACTAGATCGATTGCATCGATCAGACAAAGTGCCATCGCGTCATATTTTGCGCTTTGTTTCGATGTCATATTTGTTAACAGAAAAAACTAACCGGTTGAAATATATATAATAGGTGGAAATAATGTTCATACACAAAATAATTATAAAACAGTATATTAAGTTCAAATTAAAACACCCCAAGTACCTGTTTTAAATCTAAACAATCGCACATACCTATCAAAATTGTAAAAAATAATTTCAAAAATAATATTTTCGTAATACTACGTGTTCTCGAAATATAATATTTATATATTTTCTATCTGTTTTAACAAAACTAAAATCTAACTCTAACAAAAATTATCACCTCAAATCAATTGAAGGTTTTGTACAGTTGAATCTTTTTTTAAAATACTAACTCACATAAATACAACAACTAAAATTTACGGGAAAATCGGGAGTTTTAAAGTTTCCAAGGCGCACCGCAACCTACGTTAGCTTCAGTGTTGGTAGGTCGTGATGTTGATGGTGATGTGTACAGGGACAGTTTCCGCGACAGCCGGCTATATGGGAGCATGATGAATTGCGTGAACGCGCTCGAGCAGCAACTGCCGCCGCCGCCGCCACCGGCGCCTGTCGACGAGAAGCACGACTCATGTGAGTTACACCACACCACGCCGCATAGCTTACAATCTCACTTCCGTTTACACACTTTCCACATTCGTATTTCATTTAAACCCACGTTATAATTGGCTCCAATGTAGCATTGATATTTTCTCCATAAACCGATTTATGATTACTAAAAATGATCATTTGATATTTTCGGTAAATCATTAATCCTGAATGTTCCGGACTTTAATTATCGCAGTATATTCACGCTGCATGAACAAATATTTGTTAAAATTTGTGTATTGCCTAAGTTTTTAGCGCTTGAAAACCGCGTTTATTTTAATAAACATACGAATGTGTAAAGAATTTACATAAACATCATCATAAATAATAAACATTATTTCCTATTTTTAGATCTGTCCTTTATGAGCCAGATCGCACGTCATTGCGTCACATTTTTTATCTTTAGCCTTATATTATATCAACTACTTCCTTCGTTAAAATAATAATACTTCTTACTTACGTTATTTTTAATTACAAACATTTGTACTTAAAAGGCGTAATTCTTTAAGGTATTTAAGTCGTTGTATATAAAATAATTTTATAATATTACAGTAAATTTTATAGATCTCAAACGAACAAACTAGTGACGCAGGTATTTATTTGAAAGAATGGGTTCTTTTAAACGTAAAGTATACACTCGTGCCTATTTTTTTTTAATGTAATGTCCTATTTGGGCATTTGCTAAGTATGGATTCGATAACGGATCTGTTGGGGACATGAACCACATCATACTTGTTATTAAGAGTTAAGATCTATGTTAGTTAACGTCAGTGTTATAAATATGTAAATGAAGATCACTGTTGTAGAATAACATCCTAATAAGTACACAATAAAAAGTAATAGTGATGAAATTTTAATAATGAACAGACTTTGTTATTTAAATTATCGCAGAAACGTGTATTTGTGTTGTATGCGCCTGATAATATACTGTTATAAATTAAAAAGTGGGTAGTTGAACTTTATCACTGTTTGTCCTCTGAGTTAGAGATTGCAAACCAAACGACATATTATTGCAAGTGGAACAGAATCGTAAACGATCGGTTACCTATAATTTAAATGTTACCTATCATTTAGATATTTGTGTGACATATTTAATTTAGCTGTCTGCACTACTGTTATGAAATATTTCGTAATGATTCATGTCTAAGGACCCAGATGAAAATCCTGATTGCTTATATCAGTAACATGATAAGTTATTTCATTTATATGGACAAGTCCTCGTTGCCTTTTAACGCACATTATTTCAAAATTTAAGTCATATCGATCGAGTAGCATAAACGTAATAAAATATAGAACGTAAAAAAGCTTAAACGGAAATACAATATTTTCGATCATTTTCGAACATTTGGACATCAAAATTGTTTCTACTATACGCTAACAGTGGTTACGCTTTGAGGACAAGCATTTGTACTCTATGTGACACAGGCTGTGTTCACAACTATCTAGTGGACCAGGCCTCCGTCACATACTGTTGAACATCAAACATACTGAGCTGATTGCTTTAATTTTTTTAATTACTTGGATGATAAAATTTGGTACACATACTCGCTAATAAGTAGGTAATAAGAAATTAAAAAAAAGACTTTTAAATATTTTTGACAAAATATACCTACCTACCTACTATTTTCTACCTACTTTCAATCAGAGGTTGTTAATTCCAAAGGGTAATATAATATATTAATAGGATAGGGTAATTTTTACGATGAATCTAATAACTTAAGACTAAAAGTGTTATGAGACTTGACTGAAGTCCTTATACGAAGAGATCGACGATGGGGTTAAAGAATGGGGGGAAAAAAATTCAACCCGGCAAATTGAGAACGGGGATAGAGTAGCATAAAGCCACAGGTTGAGTGTTTGTATCCTTTGCAAAGTTTCATGATGCTTATAAGACTATTTAACAAACCTGAATATAATGAAATAGTCTAGAGTTTGGCTATGACTCACGCCCGGTTTCAGGGCCGTATTTGGGGCAGATAGCATAAATCAGTCGGATATTCAACTGTTCTCCCTGGTTACTGTTCCGGCGATACTACATTGTCATTAAAGGGTATAATTTAAAAACCAGTACCGTTGTGTCCGTTGCTCTGGCTCACTACACTATTTTCTTGTGAAAAATGTATCAACTAGGTTCGAGCTCACTTTGTTACAAAATCATAAAATAATGATTGCAAGACAGTGCATGACATTTATTTTATGCTATCGTACTGATTAATAGTACGTTACGCTCGTAGGCGCATCGTCCGTGTGCTTGCACTCTGGTTAAATTGTGTTTATTGGCACGTTTTTATAATATTACGCCTGCATTATTTCTGGGTAAAACATTTTGAAGGCAGTGCCAGGGTAGTTTATATCGCATCATTAACGCATATATATCACAAATATTAAGATATAATCCATATATCGGTATGTTTCCAAAAAAACCTATTACACAGGTCACCTACACTGTACTGTTCAAAGTTCTAAAAATAAACTCCCCATTAGAATACAAATACAAGAATAGAATAGGAGAACAAAACCCTCATGATTAAATAAAAAGTGGGGCTATGTACGAGTAAATTTTAGAAATTCACTTATATATATATATTATTGTTACCGTGAGCGAGTGTAGGTGTGTGGTGTGTATGTGCGTACTATTTTTTTAATTTTATACGCAACTTGCTTAGACCGTAGGAATAAGTAGATTCTCAGTAGCTTTATTACAATCTCTTTTTGAAAACGGAGAAATGTTAAGAATTGCATTCAATTTATTATATAAGTAAACGCCAAGAAAACAGAAAAAGTTGTGTGATGAAGCGGTTCTGAGAAGTTGACTAGAGCAGACAGTACTTTTACTCCGTATATCGCATCTATATAGTAATTAACAAGATATTGACATAGGGCAAAGTATACTTTCGACCGAGACATGTTTATACATGTTTTAGTGTCTTGAAGATATAGATAAACTCTGTCACAACTGTGTCACAACACATAGAGGTGTTTGACAGCTGTGGACCGATGTGCACAGCAGTGAGGCAGTTGACATGACCATAAGGCGAATGTTATATATTTCGTTTTAGTAGCGTTAAGTGTAAGGACATTATGGTTTAACCATTCACTTACAACATTGAACCTCTGCTGGATCTCATCGAATACTTCCTGCCAGTATACTCCACTGAATAATAGAGCAGTGTCATCGGCGAAAGAAAAAAAACCATTATTAAGTCTAAGCTGGCAAATATATAAGTACCAGGAACAATGTGGAACCTATAATACTGCCCTCTGGCATACTGAATCAATCAATTTCTACTCTCTTGGCCAAACACTCAAACGCCACTCAAATTTAAGATATCGTTAAGGCTCGTGGTGTCACAGTCACTAGTGACAGAGACAGCACGAGACTTAACGGCACCTTATAATTTCTTCTTAGCGTTTGAGTATTTGGGCATCTGTGTTCTATTCGTGAGGTAGCTTTAAAAAAAAACTACCGGGAATGCCGCGTACTCCAATTTTTTCGAATATATATAGTCTAAAGGTGTGAAATCGAGACCGTTTCAAAAATCTTAGGCAGATCAAGGAATACAGTTAAACAAGTCTTCCTATCTAAAATTGTAATTACTTTACAAAGTCATGGACATCGTCATTCGTAGATTTAGCCCGTGGCAAGCCGTACTGATAGGATGATAGAAAGTTGTGGAACTCTAAGTAGTTGATCAGTCTCTCATTTATATGCGCTCTAAGATCTTAGGAGACTGGGTAAGATGGAAAATAGTAGATCTGTAATTATCGTCACACTCTTTACCGTCACTCTTGTGTACTGGTTGAATAGGCGCCACTTTAAAACTGAGGCAAAAACTCCAGTTGATATGGAAAGCTTGACGATGTGAGTGATTGGAGCAATTAGAGAAGGCACATACCTTTTGACTATAATGGTGGATATCAGCTCGATTCCTACTGCAAATTTGTTCTTCATACCTTCCTTTACCTCGGTTTCATCGGTTAAAGCTATTATAAATGAGAATAAGGGAGATTCTCTTTTGAATTAAAGAGGATTTCTTGAGGATTGGATGAAGTAACAAGAGAAGGAGAATAATAAACAACTCAATCTGAACCATAGACTTAGAATATACTGGCGTATAGACCGAAATAGTGTGGAAGGGAGAAGAAAATTCCTTATGGGAAAAAAACGCAAGATAGAAAAGAGGGTCAGATGAAAGAATATAAACATGATGCGCGATGAAGCCTCATAAATATATTGGCCATTAAACAGAGTAATCTTATTTAACTGATTCCTACAAGTTTCCTTACTTAAATTATTAAGTTTACATTCATATTTAAGTCGAATGTTAAAATAAACTTCTATAATGTATTTAATTATTAATTATTAAATGTTTATAATTATCAAAAGTAATACTTATATGAAAAATAAAGCAGGCATTATGTATTCCATGTCCCCGTTTTTTATTTCTCCATCAAAACATTTTATAAAATATAAATAGGTATATACTTAGTTATGTATCTATATATTAACAATATGTTAAAATAAATTCCGGTGTAAATGTCCATGGCAGTAAATATTTTTCTCCAAAGATCATAGCTCGAAAATACAACTTTCCGATTTGATTATTGGGGAATTTTTTTTTCTAAGTTTAACGGTAAAGTCACCTGGGATTTTACACATTTGAATTAAAATTCAACAAAAGACAGGTAGGTTCAGCTTATTCCCAGGAACATGATATATGAATATTTTTTAATAATTTTAGAACTATCATGGTAAAAATTCAGTTAATTTTTTAAGTTATTTTATTTCGTGCACTAACAATTTTTTTTTACTGCTTCCTTAACAATTATTTTTCGATAAGCATAGTAAGTAAAATGTACATCACTAGCTAACGCATACAATGACAAATCAAAATTAGTCACGCGTTTTTGGGCTGTCAGGTCGTCTATACGCCAGTATATTCTAAGTCTATATTCTGAACCACATTTTGTTATCGTGTGGCCTT